GATCGGGAACTTACAGTCACGGAAGACGATGTTATCTCCTCGCTGAGACAAGACGAAGAACTGGGAGATCATCATCGGCGAGTTTGGTTGATCGGCGTTGGGATCTGTTTGTCTGGTGGTTCCCGTTTCTTTATCAATTCTCTCGAGTCGGAATTTTGTTTTCATGGGCCCATTATCGATGTGGCCCATATCATATCCTCTCTTTGGAATGTTTCAAGTAACTAAACGACTCAAATATGGATCTCATTCTCAAGCAGCTGACTGTAATATGAAACAATCCGTTCATACTTACTCTGTTTGGTTCAGCAAATTGGTCTTCAACTTCCTACGACTCTTAGAAACTCGATTCAAACAATCACTAAAAACATTACAGACAATTGACTCTATTTGGTCCTCCGAAACTCGACTCGAACAATCACTAAAAACATTACAGACCATTGCAAGTATCAACAATCAAAAGAAAGCTTTGGTCGATTTGTATCAACAAAACCCAGATAAATTACATTGTTTTCCTTTTTCGTCCAGCTTGGTCGATTCGAAGCAAACTTGGAACATAATTATAAATTTTTGGCCAACGTCCATCCATAATTGCTGGTGCAAGATCCACCCGTGTGACTTTACTATCCTCCCCAACAATGTATATCTTCCTGAAGGACATGCTATCGACTTCCCGGCACGTAGAACACACGAAGAGCTTCTTCTCCTCATCTATCAAGAAAGGATAATCATACCAGATTCTAAGATCACTGCTCAAATCCAATGATAAGATCTTGCTCCACGACACCACTTTGGTCCCTTGATCAATCTTATTCGACACCCATATCTCAGTCTTTAATGTACGTTTGTCCTGTCCTAACACAGAGATCTTCTCTTCTCTAACAACGGAAATACCTGGAGATTCATCATGCAACTGACCGGGAAGAGGCACATGAACAGATTTCTCGGTCGAGAAATCGAATTTGATCAAGGAGAAGGGGATTAGTCCTTTGCCTTCTTCTTCTGTGACAATCATGTAAGCATTTCCCTTCAAAGACACACATTGATCAGTGAGTGGCAATGTCCAGCCTGGAGAGATATCATAACCAAGCGCCCTCCAGGAATCAGAACTGAAATCGTAAATGTCCGAATCATTACCAAGACCAAAACTCAAGATTTTGTAGCTCTTGCTATTGTTGCAGTATCCAAGAAGAAAGGTTTGGCAATTCCCTAAACGCTCACTGGGTTGGATCCACCTGGTTTCGCAAGTTAACGGGTTCCAAACCACGATTCTAGATTCTAATGCCAAGGTACATAACAAGAAGCCATGACAGTGAAAGACTTGAGCTATTTCTAATTCACAATTAGCAGCAGGATCGACTAGGCTAAGGTCAGGTAGAAGTTGTACGGATGGAACAATAATTGAACTGAAAAGCTGACTTGTTAGATTGATCTTTATCGGACAAATACCGGAGTTGGTGGTCGCCATGAGTGATAAAAACTGCTTTGGAGCTTTATCAAAGTGGTTCCTTGCGAATCTCCAATTTTTGTATAAACGGTTCCATCGTTGGCAAGTGGATCGTAATCGTTTCAGAGATGTCGCCGGAACATGACAAAGTATCTCGTCCACCAAATCCTCCGGAAAATTCTCTCGTACAGGCATCGGAAACAATCTAGGGTTTCATTACAAACTAGAAAGGGGTATAGTTAGATTTGTTTCTATTGGAGCTAGTGGTGCTCCTGATCCTACATGTTGAGATTACAGGTTTGATTCAACCTTCTTTGTCTCTGATTTTTTCCTTCGATCTTGATCCAATTGAATTCCGATTTGAATCCAATTCCACTCGTGATTATTTGTTG